CTTAAATATAAGTGGCACAGTGTATACATACAGCAAACTCCAAAACCTCCATTAACAGCACTGTCCACTAAAGCAGTGTTTGAACATTTAAAGCCTAGAGAGTAGTAGAGGGTACTAGTGTTCCCAAGGCAGCTCTCAAGTCCCACAGTGCAGGCCAGGGCAGTTTACATTTGGGGATCCTTCACCAGTGGCTGTCACTCCGAGTACATGGACGCATGTTGGAGTACGGTGTCCTCTGGAGGGTTTTCAGTGGCTGGTTTTTCAGGTGATCTCTAGGCCTTTGTTCCTAGGTGCCTCTGAGGAGTCTTGAACCTCCAACACTTCCCTTAGCAGCCAAGCATTAACTTGTTTACACCACCCCGAGACTTCCTTAGAGTGGTAGTTAAACCGTACCTATCCCATGTTAGACTGAATGGTGTTAAAAATGTCATTCAACTCTGAGTGAGGGCTAAAACTGAAGATGAGATGTTTTCAAATACATGCTTTTAAATTTCTGAGAAAACAAACTGACATTGCTTAATTATATACAGCTGTGCAGTGTGTCTGAGTTGGCCTGTATTGGTGCAGGTTCAGACTGTGAGGGCTGTTCTGAGAACATATGAGGAAGGAAAAGCTAGTAACCCCTCATTGATGTTATGTACCTAAGACAGTTGTCTTAAAGCAAAAAACAAACAGGCCAGAAATATTCTCCCTCCCCCTCAATAGAAAACCCTTTAGACCATTTAGAATGATTTAAAAACAAAAACACATATTCTTACTGTGATAAAAATTGGGGAACGGGCCTCATATGACACTTTCATTTTATGTAAAAATTAAAGCCCAAAGACTAGTTTAATTCAGTGCTATAGTGAAGTCATTTGGAGACAGGAGGAGTTTGTGTCTTTCAGTTGTTGGTACCATGCAATGGTTGTAAAACATGCACCAAAGTTGACTGGTTTGGGTGGTTCTGTTACCACTCTGATCATCACTGTCCTAAATGCTGGGTTTTTGGTTTTAAATAAAAAAGCAGATGTAGCTCTTCATTCTTACTTCCAAAAGGTAGATCATGATTTTTAATTGTAAGGTGCAGAGCTATAAACTGATCTTGAGATGACAGTGGGGTTTTTTCCCAAAAAGAAACATTCATTCAAATCCACCATCATTTACCAAATGAGACTGACAATGATTTCCAAGTATTATTCTCTTTTGCCATATCCTAAAATGTGCAGAAGCATGTGAAGGAAAGTAATGGCTTCAACGGTGCTATCTCGGTTTCCCTGCTGACGCTCAGGAGCTTACAAGGAGCCTGGTGGTGCAGTGGTCACAGGTGTGAACCCAGCAGCTCCCTGGGAGAAGGATGTGGCTGTCGGCCTCCCTGACAGTTACAGCCTTGGACAGCTAAGGGGGGTCCTACAAGGTCACTGGGTTGGCACTGGATGGAAAGGCAGTGGGTATGCTTGGAAATAGAACACTGTATAAACTGTGGATCCTGTTGTTAACCAATTTTGCCATTTTAATTTGCTGTTACCTTTTTCTTGCTTTTCAAAGCTATCCTTTGAAGAGAGTTAAATGTGTTTTAGCCTACCTCCACTCAGGCCTCTTGCTGTTTGATTATTTTTCCAGGTTACAGTGTGCATAGCTTTTAAAAACTACATGTACTATTATAATGTTCTTTCCCATGACTCTTGTAATGCATTCAGAACCTAAAATTATAATAAAAGAACCAAGCACTAGCATTTTCCCCCATAAATGTAAAAATGAATTAGATCTAACCTGTTTCCTTAATTTTAAAAATAAAAAAAAATACCTCAGTGCTGTGTTTTTTTTCCTTATCACCTGCATTTCTCAAAAGTGAATGTTAAGTGGCACAAGAATCACATTATTTTGGCTTTTAAAGAAAGACTATTAAATATTTCAGAATTGCTATCAACAGCCTTTTCTTTTCCTCAGATTTCCCACCTTTTACCTTGTAGCTTAGGTTTGAGCTGCCAGACTCTTTCAGAGTAGTCCTGTGCTGCTACAAGCTCGATGTACAGAAAACTACACAGCTATTCATGTTAGCCTAGAACTGGAGACGGCCTATCTGAACTCTCAGTTTGGGCTATTAAGGTACCAGCTACTTTGTCACAAGGACCTTCTCTTTCCTTGCTTGGGACTCTTGACGTAGTTCATCCCCCTCTTTATAACAGCCGGTGGTGGTGGTGGTGGTGGTGGTAGTGGTAACTGTCAGGTTGGCCCTGACGGCAATTCCATGTACTGTGGGGCAGAATACTGTGCAGCCAGTTGCACAGTGGATTGCTATGATCCAAAAGCTTGCTCTTCTCAACTGACTTTTCTAAAGTCAGCAGGCTTTTTTTCCCAAAGCCGTCTTCATCTAGAGACACTACTGAAACCTGTCCCCGAAATCATAGCAATGCACAGACCTCCAACAGATGGGTGGTGGCTGCTCATGAAGTGTGCTGGCAGAGGATCGAACCAGTGTCTCTTGGAATGCATGAATCCTACCACTGAACCACAGGGCCTCATCAGTCAGTAACTGGAGTGCCTACCTCGAAACCAAGATGCAGCCAAAGGACCAAAATTCCCTTGAATTGCCTGAATTCACAGCGTGTTCTAGGCATTTTTTTAAAGTTTCCTATAAAGACTTTTTTCTTTATCAGTATGTGCTTTTAGCTGAGAACGGCTCAACCTCTTAACAATAGTGGCTGGCTGCCTACATTACTGCAAAATGGTTGCCTGGACAATGGTGCTTTCATAATTTGTTCAAAGTCTGCACGTGTGGGGCTGCTAATTAACAGGTGAAGAGCTGGGAGTCACCAGCGGCTTTGCTGAGGAAAGCTGGCACACCTCCAGTCAATACTTACAGCCTCGGACACCTAATGGACAGTTGTGGCGTCAGAATCAGCCCACACCAATCGGCTTAGTTTTGTTTCATTCATCATAGAACAAGCCTTAGTGGTGTAATGCATAACACACCAGGCTAAGTGAGAGGTTAGTGGGACAAATCCACCAGTTACTCCCAAGAGAGAAAGATGGGCAACTTCTTCCTATAAAGATTTCTAGCCTTGGAAATAGGATGGAAGACCACTATGACTATCAATTCAGTAGCTGGAGGTTTTAGATGGTTGCTTGGTTTTTATATATCACAGATCTATGCAGTAAACCTGAATTACCTGGCTTTAATAATAAACTTCATTAAAGGAACATGTAGATGTCTGTCCTTTGGGCCTAAAGAAATAATAATGGCTGTGTTACAGCATAAAGTGATAAAATACATCATGTTGTGAGAAAGCCAAGCCACTCAGCATGGAGTGTGTTAGGAGTCAAGGTAAAATACACTGAAAATACGGATTCCTGGAGTTGCAGCCTTAGGAGAATGAAAGACTGTGGGCTCTGCTTTGTTTGACACCCAGCTCAACTATGTAACTTTGGGCTAGAAGCCTTTTCACTTTCTGTCAGTTTTAAGGCAAGGCCAATAGTAGTGTCAGTCATCACTGCATGGGGCAGATGTGCCGCCAAAGACCTCTTTAAAATGCTGTCGAGTAAGGACCTTGAAGACTAAACCATGGTGGGGTTTTTTTTGCCCTAAGCCATAGCAGCTTAAGATCCTTCATGTGTATGTGAAAGCTGCACGGTGAATAAAAGACTTGAAAATAATTGAGGCCTCTGAACCATGGTGCTGGCAGAGTATTAAATATTCCATCGACCACCAAAAGAACAGGACTCTGCAGTGGTGCGGGGTGTAGGGAGGTGCACTGTTAACCTACCCAGTGGCTCAGTAGGAGGAAGATGAGCACTCTCCTCCTGTGCAATGTACTGCCTATGAGTCATATCTGACTTGACAGCAGCGAGTGAATGACCAAAAAGAACAAGCAAATCTGTGCTGGAAGAACTGCAGCCAAGGTGATCCTTAAGAGGCAAGAATGGTGACTGATTTTGGCCATGTTATCAGGAAGACTTGAACTTGTATTTTGATCATGGTACCAGGTCCCTGGAGAGGAACATCATGCTTGGAAAAGTTGAACTTCAGCACAGGAAGGGAGACTCGAGATGGGAGATGGACTCAGTGTTGTAAAGGACTGTGACTGCACAAGGTTTGCATCTGTTTACAGGGTTGCTGTGAGTCAGAAGTGACTCACTGGCACCTAACCACCACCACCTTAGAAAACTGATTAAATATGACAAGGATTTAGTATAATGCCTGACTTCTATTTAGCTATTTTAGCCATATCTCAAATACTTAATACATCCATTTTGAAAATGCTCTCCTTAAATATTACTACTTTGATAAACTTGTGTAACACAAGAAAAAAGCATTGGTCATACCACTTTTATTTACATTGTTTCTATGTTACATTGTTATTCAATATAGAAAAAATATGAATACATTCATAGTATTCTTTTTAATTTGGTAATTCCACATTGTCAAATATTGACTGTTCTTATATTGGGTTTTCTACCCAATTTTAAAGAGGAGGAATTGATCTGGTGAACAATTCTTCTTTTCTTGTTATTGGTATAACAGTAATATATTCTCTCTTTTTTAAAAGAACCTAGTTTTTAAAAGACTCAAATTGCTTACTATCTTAAGGAAACATTTTAAAACATAGACATTAATTCATTCTTCCACCAAGAAAAAAAATTTAAGGTAAGCACCTTAGAACACACCTCAGTGATCCAAGAGAAAATTTACACTCTTTATAAAGGGGTCAGTGCTAAAAGAAAATTAAGTGGTAGACCCCTATGTACAATGGTTCTGCATATACAAAAGACCATATTAACATATTTATGCAGGAGAAGAGAAAAATCCACACTTCAGAGAATCAGGTTTCTTTGAAAAAAAATCCATGTTGCTAATAGAATCAGTGATTATGTCTTCTGGACCTAAAACTCTCATAAATAGTTCAAACTCACAAATCAATGCTACAAAATACAGTCTTTTCTATCACTTTTAGTTATAATGTACACAATGTACAGAAAGGCAAAAGTTACCTATCTTTAAGTACAAATTGAACAGCTTGTTAAAAACCAGAATCAGGACTTATAAATAGTGCAGAAAATGCAAACGCCAAAAACACGAGGCCTCCTATGATTGTCACTAGAAGAAAAAAGAGAAAACGTTAAGGCAGAGTCTTAGGAACCACGGTGCTGCCCATTTCTCCTAAGTAAACCTGCAAACAAATTAGAGCCTGTTTGCACACCAAAGAACACTTTACATGCCTGGCTGTACTGTGAGAAGTAGTCCCTTCTCCAGCACTGTTTTCAGAAGGGACAGAGTTAAACTGATATTTCTGGCTAGCAAAGAAACTCTATGGTTAGCGTAGGGGGCATGCAGGAGGCAACACCACAATGGCTGGTCTATAAAGATTCTGGTATAGTCTGGCTGCCCCGCAGTCAACCAAATGACTGTAACTTTATGCCTTGTTTTCAGCAGGACTACAGTTTTTATAAAAAAAATAAAAGTATCCCCATAGCTACAACAATGAAAACATTTTCTGTAAGTCCAACTTACATGTACCAATGTATTTAAAAGGCTAAAATTCTGTGCTAGTTTACTTTTAATGCCAGAGAACCTCTCATGTGGAACTAATCAAGGCAGTCCAATTATAAAAATATTTGAATTTACATATTTCAGCTGCACAGGCTATAACTGCACTGCAGCTACCTTCCCTGCTGACAGTATGTTTATATTTTCTGATTTTGTCAAACTTTTGTTTTCAATTATATTTGTGAATATAGAGCAGTAACTTTTTTGAGAATGACCTACTAATTAATGGAAAATTAGATACATCCAAAAAGGCTCCTACTTAGTAACTAAGAATATAAATTTAATGTAAAGATTACAAAACAATTTTGTTTTTACCAACATTTACTATAATATTTCTATGATTTATAACTCATAATATTCTGTAATTAAAGGTTGTAATTAGGAAGGATTCTGCATGGTCTGACTTGGTAGGCAGTCAGGGAGGGAAGTTGGTGTGACACTGTGAGTTACTATAATGGGCGACACGAACCCTTATGACCCACTGAAGAGACTTGTGTTTATTCCTTCTGGGGTAACTAAGTTTTATTGTAACTATAGAGGAAATTTCTAGCAGAATCAGTAGATATGATCACCACTTAAGATTTCCCAGTCTTCCAGAACATATTCTTAAAGCCAAAAATTTCTACACAAAGATTGCTTTATTTTTAATATCCATTGACTAAGAAAATAAGTTGACCCAAAAAGCCACTTTGAATTCAATAATGCTTTGAAATCAATTTGTATTTCACTAACATCTACACATGAGGGAGGGGGAAATGGTTCACATTTGCAAGACTAGGGCACAACTCCAAGCCTTCAAGACTGCTGACAGTTTCCAGTCACAAAGACCAGGTACATTTTAGAAGTAAAAACATAAATAAAGTTATTCTCTTTTCTAAACTCCAGGGATTCCAACAAAAGTTTTTGCTTTATAATTTAAAAAAGAAACACAACATAAACCACCTTACCAGTTCTGACGGAGATTTTTTGGGCTATCATTCTTCCTCCAATGACTGCCAAGCCGGTGCATAAGCAGTGTCCCACTGTTCCTCCCACTGCTACACCATAGGGATCCTGCAAACAAGCACAACACACATTAATTCAAAATCAAAGAGGGAACTGATAACAAGAAGCACTGAAAACAGAAGTTGGCAACAAAACAGCAGAACACCATTCTAAAAATTCGTATGTGTGTGTGTGTGTGTGTGTGTATATAAATATAAATATTTAAGAATGTAATTCTACACTTGATGTTTGTTTTTTCTTTTAATGTACAACCAGAATTTAATAGATTGAGAAATTATGGTACATTCATTCACATTATGGAATACTATGCAATGCCCAGGAACTATGATTTTATAAATCACTACCTAACTTGAGAGGGACTGGAGAGCATTGTGCTAAGTGAATTAACTCATTTCCATAAGGACAAATACTGTATAAGACCTTTATTGCAGAAATAGGTAACTAGTAAAATGTGTATGAGGATCTAAGATGGGGGAGGGCACAGGGTTGAGGATGGGCTGGTGAGGGGAAATCATAATGTTGCACAATTTTATACACTTGATGTTTTAAAATAAGTTATTTAATGCAAATTTACAATTAGAACAAGACCTAAAGGGAAGGGGGCAAACTGAATTTAAGAAATCAAAGCAGTCTTAAGAAATGAAGCCTTTTAACCTTTGAGGAGTTGGTAAACTTTGGCTGAGCCCCTATTTTGTACCTACATGACAACTGCTAGGGAGACAATGACACTAGACAGTGCTTCCCTCAGGTATGATTTGATTCTATGAGAAAACAAAGACTTGACAGGAAGAATAAGAACCACCTGCCATCAGAGCACACCGGAGGCCTTGGATTTGGAGGATCAGTCAGTATTTCTGGAAGACAGCCCTGAAGGATGAGTTAACAAGGATTGGCTTCTACGCAGAAGGCACTGGCCAGCAGTGGGAGGCATCTGCAATGTTTCTATTTCTAGAGAACTAGAGTCACCACTGTAGAGTCCAGCTAGGTAGGTGAAGGGTCATGAGGGAACTTAATTACTGAACAGACTTGCTGCTGAGGCACTGATTTGTTTTTAGGCAGAGAGTAACAATGGACTTGTGCTTTGAAAGATAAGGAGCAAGACAGGGTGATGACTGGGAGGTTAGTGAGGTTGTGGCGGGGTTAGATGCTGTCAAGTCACTTGCAACTCTTAGTGACCCTATGTACAGCACCTCTGAGCTAGTCTCACTGACTCTGACACACCTAGCCCGACTGTCAGTCCATCTCACCCGGGGCCTTCCTCTCCTGTGCTGTGTGTCCATCTTTCCAAGCAAGATATCCTTACCCAAGGACTATTCCCTCCTGGTCACGTGCCCAAAGTATGTGAGACAGAGTTTCAAAATCCTAGCCTCCAAGGAGAAACTTGGGTTCACTCCTTCCAAGACAGACTTAATTGTTTTCTTGGTGGTCCATGATATGTTCAAGACTCTTCTCCAGCATCACAACTCAAAGGCATCATCTTCTATCATCCTTAGTCACTGGCCAGCTAGCTCGCTGATTCATAAGCAAGTAATTGCAAAGACCATGGCCTGGAACAGGCACACCTTAGTTTGTAGACTGACATCGTTGCTTCACAGTACTGTGGAGAGGTTCCTGACAGCAAATTTACCTAATGCAGTTTGTCTTTTGATTTCCTGACTGCTGGTACCAAGAGTGTTGATCATGGAGCCGAGCAAGCTGTAACTGTTAACAACCTCAATCTCTTCTATGATGAGACTCTTTTGTCTTCTTGATGTTGAACTTCAGTCCATACTGAAGACTGCAGTCCTCGACCTTCTGCAGCAAGCGCTTCAGGTCCTCCTCAGTTTCAGCAAGCAGGGTTGTGTCATCGGCATAATGTAGGTTGTTAATGTGTCTTCCTCCAATCCTGATGCCACCTTCCTCCGCATGAAGCGCTACTTTCCGAATGATCTGTTCTGCATACAGATTGAAAAGGTAGGAGACAGGACACTTCCCTGACACACTCCTTTCCTGATTTTGAACCATGCAGTGTTTCCCTTCTCTGTTCAAAGGACTGCTTCCTGGTTCAAGTATAGGTTTCACATGATGTGCTTAGTGAAGTAGCACAAGAAATCAAAAACAGAGAAAAGCAGAAGGAAATCCAAGGCAGAAGGAGAAGGAAAAAAGAGACCCTAGTGATGTAGTAAATTAAGAGCTGGGTTGGTAACTGAAAGGCAGGCTGTTGGAACCCACCTGCCACTCTGTGAGAGAAAGATGAGACAGTGCTCTCCTATTGACACAGCCTCAAAAACCATTACTGTAGAATGACTACAAGGATCCAGGAGGTGTAGGGGAGGGTGGAAGCAGAGGGATGAGTATGTGAAGGGGGATGGGGGCGGGATGAGGGAAATTGAAAGAAACCATGTATTCGACTTTTGTAAATAAACTAGTAGAAAATTAAAGAAAAAAAAAAAACCACACCAAAAAATCTGAAAGAAGGTCGCCACGAGTCACAACAGGCTCAGTGGCAATGGGTCAGGAGCTCAGGCAGAAGCCCTGGTGGGTGAGGCAGGCACCCTGGTAGCAACGTGACTAAAGGATCTGGCTTCTAACCAAAAGGCTCGAGCTCTGAACTCCGCAGCCATTCAGTGACAAAGATGAAAGAAGCACTTTATTTCCATAAAGATTTATAGCCCTGGAAATGCTGTTCTCTGCCCTATAGGGGTTGATATAAACTGGGATAGACAATAGTTGGTCAGTTTATGTTTTGTTTGTTTTTTAAAAAATTCTCAGTATAATAAAGGTCAAAGACTACAGACTACAAGTGTTGATAATGCCCAAAAGTGTAGAAAACAAAATGTCTTCACTGCCGTTTTGTGCTGTCAAGTTACTTGCGACTCATAGAGACACTATGTACAACAGCTCTGAACCCTGCTCTATCCTCAGCCAACCTTACTGTCTCGTACACACATATCCCCATCAACCCAGTCACTGAGTCAATCCATCACATCAAGGGTCTTCCTCTCCTGCACTGTCCCTCCACCCTTCATTGCATGACATCCCTCTCCAAGGACTGATCCTGCCATGCAACATGTCCAATGTATGTCAGATGAAGCTTCAGAATCCTTGCATCCAAGGCGCACCCTTTACCCTCTCCAGGATGAATCTGTTCTCCTAGCAGTCCATGGTATATTCAATACTCTTTTCCAGCACCACAGCTCAAAGGCATCAATTTTCCTTCTATCATCCCTAGTCGTTGTCCAGCTCTCTGATGCACAGCAAGTATCTGTGAAGAATAAGGCCTGGGTCAGGTGCACCTTAATCTCCAGACTGACATCATTACTCTTCAGTACTATAGAGAGGTCCCTGACAGCAAACTTTCCCAGTGCAATTTGTCTTTTGATTTTCTGGCTGCTGGTACCAAGAGTGTTGATTGTGGAGCCAGGCAAACTGAAGGTATTAACAATCTCAGTCTCTTCACCATCTATCTTGATGCTGCCAGTAAGGCCAATCAAGAAAACAAAGATAAATCATGATTTAAGAGGGAAAAGCCTTGATCTTAACAATTTCACTCTACTTGTATCAACATTGCCTGCGATAGCACCAGTCAGTAAATCAAAGTATTTGCACTGGGCAGATTGCCACAAAAAAATCACTGTGATGATTAACACATGCCTAACTCTGGTGGATGGTGAAGAGATTGAGACTGTACACACCTTTAGTTTGCTTGGCTCTGTAGTCAACAGTCTTGGCACCAGCAGCCAGGAAATTAAAAGGCACATTGCCATGGGAAAGTCTGCTGTTAGGGACCTCTCCAAAGTACTGAAGAGCAATGGTGTCTCTCTGGAGACTAAGGTGCATCTGATACAGGCTATGGTCTTCGCAATCACTTGTTATGCATCAGAGAGTTGGACAATGACCAAGGAGGATAGAAGGAGAATTGATGCCTTTGAGCTGTGGTGCTGGAGAAGAGTATTGAGAATACCATGGACTGCTAGGAAAACAAACAGATTTGTCCTGGAAAGGGTTAAACCGGTGGCTCTTTGGAGGCAAGGATTCTGAGGCTCCGTCTAATATACTTTGGGCATGTTGTGAGGAGAGACCGGTCCTTGGAGAGGGACATCATGCTTGGGAGGGTGGAGGGACGGCGCAGGAGAGGAAGGCCCTCTATGAGGTGGATTGATTCAGTGACTGGGATAATTGGAATGGGAGTGTCAGACACGGTGCGAATGGCACAGGACAGAGCGGAGTTTAGGGCTGTTGTACATAGGGTCACTATGAGTCGCAAGCGACTCGACAGCACGTAACAACAACAACTCTGGTGGCATAGTGTAAAAGGTATCAGACCAAAAACCAAAAGGCCAACAGTTTGGGCCCACTAGCTGCTGTGGGAATCCGAATATGACATTTAATACTAATAATAAACCAAATGCTATATATCAGGATATGAGGGAGACTTAATACCAACTAGAATTCACCCTGTGGCACTAAGGCATTCCCTAAGAGTCAACATTGTTCTCAGTTTGTACTTACTGAATCCCTCCCTCCTAAGATAAGTATAAAGTAAACAACAGAGAGGAACTTGGCCTTATCTACAAAACACTTCCCCATGATCACTTGTTTTTGATTTATACTCCCTTATGATTTTCCTTTGTTTAGCTTCCCTATGATTCTCAATAAAAACTCTGAAAGGCATGGCTTGAGGCCTTCAGTCATGGGAACTGCTGGCCCCCTGTCTTTTATGCTCTCTGTTTTATCTCATTCTTGGTAGTCTGTCTCATTATTAATAATTATAAAAATACTTTACCCTCGGCCTGCAACAAACTACAGCTTGGGATAAAGATGGATAATGTCTTCCTTTAAAGAGTTATAACCTTGGAATCCTCAAGATGGACTTCCCTGAGTTAGAAACCCTTTGACAGCAGTGGGCTTTGCTTTGATTTAACCCGCATGTTTTAATCACCTGATGCATACAAAACCATCCAGAAAGAAAGCAGGGAGGGAAAGTGATGCAACTGAATTGTGATGGCAAAAAATACTGAATCTATCAACTGCCAAAAAAATGAACAAATCCTTCTTAGAAAAACACA